ACAACTTTGAAAACATTGTAGAACTTGAGAGCTGTTAATAATCAAAACCAGTATGGATATCTTTTACATCTTGTTATCTTCAGAGAAGTTGCCTCTACTTTTAGACTTGATACTATCAAGCATACCAAATTCGAATAAAATCAGCCAAGGTAAAACTGCTGTCTAACAAACCATATTCAAATAAGATCAGTCATATTAAGACAATGTAAGTAATTCAGGGTTTCAGTTTAAGTTAATAGGAAATTAAGGATATTTACCATGGTATAACCTGCTATTTTTTTTTTTTTGTCTTTTTCCTTTTTATCGGTACCAGGGATCGAACTCACGACTGCCTGCTTGCAAGGCAGGCGCTTATGCCACTGAGCTAAATCCCCAGCCCCATAACCTGCTATTTTTGGGTTAGATGTCTGTGCCTTCAAATCTGATATGAGTGGACAGACCAGAACAAAATAAACTCAAACTAAACAAGAGTGATAAGACTACTGTGACTTTTAAATCCTGATACATTATTAACAATGTCCTCTGCCTTCTTTTTTAGGCTATTTTTCACCTTTCCCCTTCTCAGGATGTTTTGTATGTTTTGGGTCTCACTAGCCCCTTTAGTTTTTAGATTAGGGGGCCAGCCCATTGTCTATCTGAGTGTTGCTGAACGTTTCTACTCCTGAGCTTGATCTTGAGCTGTACTCCTTTACTCACTAAAGTCATAGAGTTTTCCTTCCTTCCAGTTGTGTAATTCTACACTGCCCAAAAGTGTCATAGCTTTCCAATCTATCTGTAGCTGCTGGATGAGTTGTAACTATTTCTCTCTGGTTTCCTGTCACATATAGCTTTGCTTTCTCATCTTTGACTTTCAGTTTATTAACCCTCCTTTGGGTTGAGTGTATTTCCCATTCAGAGCATCTCAATGGAGCCTGCCTCCTAATCTACTCTGCCTGTTTTTTTCTTTTTAATTTTAGTGTATCGAGGCTGTCTATATTAAAGATTATAGCTTACCGTCTCTGCCTCATGTCTGCTACTCGACTTTACTGCTATAATTTGTCCACCTTACTCCCTCATTCCACTGTCTGCCCCATTCATTGAGGCCTCTCTGCCACTGTTGGTGGAATCCTGGCATCTCTTCCTTTCTCTCTCTGGAATGTCCTTCAGCATTCTTTGTAGGGTTGGGTTGGTCTCTTCTGTATACTTATCCTGGGCTTATCCATGAACTCCCACAGTTCCTCCTTGTCTTGGAAACATCTTGTTTCTCCATTAATTTTGAGAGAGAGTTTTTCTGGGTACATCAGTCTTGATTGCAAATTATTTTCTTTCAGGGCTTGGACTATTTCCCCCCAGGCTTTTCTCAATTTGAGAGTTTGTGCTGATAAGTCTTGTTGTTATTTTGATCATTTTTCCGTTGTAGGTAATCTGCTTCTTTTCCCTGGCTGCTTTTGGTATTCTGTTCTTTTGGTGGATTTCTAGAATCTTGATTATTATATGTCTGAGTGTAGATCTGTTTTGGTTGTAGGTGGCTGTAGTTCTATATTCCTCATTTATCTGGATATCATTTCTTTTTCCTATGCTTGGCAAGTTTTCTCTTATTATATCTGTGAATAATCTTTGTAGTTCATTTGTAGTTACTCCTGCTTCTTAACTCACATTTTTTATTCTTAAGTTATAGATCCTCTTGTCGTCTTCTAGCCTTTGAATTGTTTCTTTCCTGTTCCTCGTTATTTTTAAGGGGTGTTTTCTTTCACGATCATATATCATAAATCTCTCTTCAAGTTTCAAAAGGCTAACTTTAGTTTCTGTCAAGGCATTTTGCCAATTTTCAATGGAGTTTTTAGTTTCCTGGTAATCTCTTTGGATCTGTTTCATGTATTCTAGGCTATGTTTAAATTCTTCATCAGAGGTTTCTCTTTTTTTCCTGATTTCCTCTGTTTTTCCATCTGTGTTCTCGGGAGGGGCTTATTTCTTTAATCATTTTATATCTTGCCTCACTTGGGTCAGAAGTACATTTTTAAATTCGTCTATAAGGTCATGAAGGTATTTCTTATATCTGCTGATGCTGTGTCTAGTATTGGATGGTTATCACACTGGTTCTCTTCTGTATTTATTTATCCTGGGCTTATTTTCCCAGGTTTGGCAGCTGAAGATTTTTAAAAATTTCTATCTCTTGTCGTGTGTCTGGTTTCTTTCAGACCGGTGTGTCCTGGGGGTCTCTAGCCCTCTCTGTATTGCTTAGGGTCTTTCCTAAGCATGCTGACTGCGGCTTTGCTGCCCTCCCCTATTTGCTGTTATCTGAGGTACACGCAGGGATGCAGGGACATTGCAGGCTAGCCTTGAGCCTTTGAGCCAGTCAATCCGCAAGTTAGGTGTACCTTGTGGATGTTACAGAGTTGCAACAATTTTGTACCTGCTTATTGAGTCCAAACCAGAGGTGTAGCTCAGCCCCAGCAGACCCTGCTAGTTCTCTCTGCACCAGGGGCAGCTGACTAATATCACCACGGCGCCAGGCTCTGCCCAACTCCAAGCTGTCCTCCACCAGACCTTTCTGTACTAGGGGCGACTATCTGATGTCACAGTGCCAGGCTATGCCCAACTACAAGATGTCCTCCACCAGTTCTCTCTGTATCACTGGTGCTGCAGTGGCGGTAGGCTCTGCCCAATTCCAAGATGTCTTCCAGCCAGCAACAGCAGCTGTGGGACCCAATCCCTAGCACTCACTGGGAGTCAATGCAGATCTTCCTCTTGGGTCCACTGCTCACTGCATCATGTGTCTTCACTGCATTCCCAGCACTACACAGTCAGAAAACTGTGCAGTGTCTGGCTTCGGAGCCCAGGTGTATGGTCTTCTCGCAGTTTCCTCTAGTGCAGCCAGGTGGCTCTGGCTGCTTCGTGGGCCCCCTTAGGTCCCAATTTCCAGCAGTCACCGAAAGCTAATATAGCTCTTCCCCTTGGATCCACTGCTCACTGTGCCACATCCTCCTCTTAAGGGACTGGACTTCACCGACTCCTATTATCGGCAGCCGCAGTCTCAGCACGACCTAGGATCCTCCTGGCAAGCCTAGTACAGCGCGGAACAGGTGTTAGTGAGCGCGTCGGGCTTCAGCTCTCTACCTGCGCTTTTCCTTCCTCTTCCTAGTTTTATTTTTCCCTTCGGTCACTGCCTTGGTTAATAAGAATCGTTATCCATTCATCTGGCCCTCTCCATCTTGTCATATTCTAGCATCTGATCTGATTTCTCCACAGAGACTCTCCATCCAGCCCCCCTAGCAAGCCACCATTTTTTTTCTCTCCAATACCATTTTAATTACAATATTGTACAAAAATTTTGCTTTGTATTTTTTTTTTTTTTTTGAGACAAAGTCTCACTGTGAGATTCAGGATAGCCTTGATCTTTGAACTTCAGGTGTTTCTCCTGCCTTAGCCTCCTAAGTGCTGGGATATAGGTGTACCCTACCATATCTGGTTTAGTTGCCTTTTAACAAAATCATTAAATGGTAAATATTTTGCAAAATGGGATTCTTGGTTAAGAAGTTTTTTCTTTCATCCCTTTGAATTTGTCACCTTGAAACTTGTGACCTTTAAACTTTATAATGAGAAGTAGGTAATCATGGAAGGGATTCTTTGTATGTGAAGAACTGCTTTCAAGACTGTTTTTGTTTTCATTGTTGGGATTGAACCAGGATCTTGAACATAATAGGCAATAACTCTACTATACCTCCTCAGGAGTTATAGTATATTCAGTTATGGATCTCTTGAGTTCATCTACTTGGAATTCATTAAATTTCTTGGGTGTTTACATTTGTATCTTTCATCAAATTTTTGAAGATTTTGGGCTTTATTCTAATAATTTCTTTCTTTTCCTTTTTGAATTTCTGCAGTGTTTAGGTCGGCCTGCTTAATGGTGACCCTTCAGGCTCTGCCCTCTTTTCTGAAATCTTTTAAATTTTTGTTCCTATCTGTAATAATTTTAGTTATATTGTTTTAAGTCCATTAATTCTTCCTTCTGCCTGTTCAAATATGTCTTCGAATCTTGCTAATAAATATTTTAGTTACTGTACTTCTTAAGGTCCTTCTGGAATTTCCTTTTTGTCATTTAAGTTTTCTTTCTTCTTATTCATAATTTTAGCTTGTCCATACATCATTTTCTTGACTTTTTATACAACTTCCTTTAGGTTTTTTTTGAGCCTTTTAGATAGTGTGGGTTGGGGATGTAGCTCAATGATAAAAGTGCTTGCTTAACATACAAGGTTCTAAGTTCACAGTAAAAAAGGATCCTCAGTAACACACACATGCACACAATCACACACATACACACGAGGGAAAAAAAGCAAAAGGTGGTCTTGAAGATGTGTTTCTAGCAAGACACCATCTAATATTTATTAAGGATCATTTCTTTTATTTATTTTCACTTTGTGTAGCCTAAAATTTTCCTGTTTCTTTAAACTTTGATTTTCATTGTTGAAAACTTGAATATGTTGGTACAATATATGTAACTCTGGAAATTATATTCTCCCTTTTCCTCAAGATATGCTGATTTTGTTGTTGTTGTTTGATGTAGGTTCTCTATGCCAAGAAGTATTCTGAGTTGTGAGTTTAGCATATTCTCAGGTCTTTTAGAAGCTTGCATATACACTGCCTGCAAACTGTCCCAATAACACATGTGCAGCTGATTGCCTCGGGCTGGTGGGATGGATAGTTGCTTTGAGGAGAATTTGATGAAAATTACTACAGCTTATCTTTCATGTTTTTCTTGGGTAGTTACAGCCTTTAAATATAACTCAAAGTTTAAAATGGTTATGTCATAAAACTTCCACAGTTGTTATCTACCTAGGAAGACAGATTTTTGTACTGACTACTTTACCATCTCCCTAGAATTCTACCCTAATATCTGTGTTCTGGAGTACTTCATACTCTCTAATCTGTGAGATTTTCCATTTTCTCTTAATTATGCCATAGTATATTTACTTTTTCTGGTCAAAGAAACCAGATGCTTTTCTTTTCTCATTTTTTTATAGATTTGGAGTCAAGTTATGAAATGATCAGCTGTGGAAAGATGTACATTTATAAAAGAGATTCATCTCTTACTCTACATCAGAGAAATCAGTATGGAGAGAAACCTTATAAATGTAAAGAATGTGGGAAAGCATTTAGTCGTCCTACACACCTTAGACTACATCAAATGATGCACACCGGTGAGAAACCTTATAAATGTAAGGAATGTGGCAAAGCATTTAGTCGTCCTTCAGATCTTAGAGTACATCAGAGAATTCACACTGGCGAGAAACCCTATCGATGTGAAGAGTGTGGAAAGGCCTTTAGTCGTGCCTCACACCTGACTCAACATGAAAAAGTTCATACTGGAGAGAAATCTTATGTATGTGATGAATGTGGGAAGGCCTTTAGTGGAGTTGGAAGACTGAGAATACATCAAAGAATTCATACTGGTGAGAAACCCTATGAATGTAGGGAATGTGGAAAGGCCTTCAGTCAAGCCTCAAACCTAGTACAACATGCTAGAATTCATACTGGTGAAAAACCCTATGAATGTAAAGAATGCGGGAAGGCCTTTAGTCAACCCTCACATCTCATTCGACATGACAGAACTCATACTGGTGAGAAACCCTATGAATGTGAAGAGTGTGGGAGAGCTTTTAGCAGTAGTCACCAACGTACTATACACCATAGACTTCATACTGGTGAGAAACCCTATGAATGTAGAGAATGTGGGAAAGCCTTTTGCGTCTATGGACGACTTACTCAACATCAGAGTATCCACAGTGGTGAGAAACCCTTCCAGTGTAGCAAATGCAAGAAATCTTTTAGGCTCAATTCAGGCCTTAAAGTACATGAGAGTGTTCATACTGGTGAGAAACCCTTTGCATGTAACAAATGTGGGAAGTCTTTCAGGCTAAGTTCAACTCTTAAAGTACATCAAAGAATTCATACTAGTGAGAGACTTTATGGCATACATATATAGAAGGAATAATGTATTGTAGAATGAATTTACACCACTAAGAAACAGTTGGGAGAGAATATGAGAAGGCTTTTACCTGTGCTTCAGTTTTTATAAAGAAATCAAATAATGTATACTGATATGAACTCTTTGGAAGGTTAATAACATTTCAGATTTTTAGTTATGCCCCAAATATTTAGGCTCAGGGACCTTATAGAATTTTGTTTTAAGATTTCCTTCTGTGTTTTAGTGTTTACTGGCTAATCAGGGAAGAGACTTAACACATAACTTGAAGAAGACAGATTGCAAGTACATCAGGCACACGTGTTGTAACATGTATGTTAAGCAACAGGAAAGAGAGAAAACACAAGGGCCTGCCCCTATAAGTGCGTCACTAGCCTTGGCCATCAGAGCTACTATGAAGCTGACATAGATGATATGGCTATACACATTCCATTCTGTGTTGTGGCAGAACCTGAGGCTCTCTTCCCTATGGAGTATGAAATACAGAATTCTATGAGTGTGCCTCAGGACCATTGCTACTTAAACAGCACAAAGGAATGCGCATTGAGTCAGAAACAGGAAAAGATATTCCCACACAAGTTGCTAAATTTAACAGCTTTTCAGGATCTTTTGTCTCTTGTTACGGAAGTATTCCCGGATCAAAGCCCAGTCGAATGTGGCCATGCAGAAGGTGAGAGACTGCATGAATGAGATTCCTTTCCTAATAGTCTTTATGGATTATCAGATTATTTGTATTGAAGGAAAATTAAGAGAATGTATGAAATCCTCATTTTTTTTATGTATAAAAGGCTTCCAGCAAAAATCACTTATTAAATGAGTTACATCACAGAAAACCCCTGCTGATCTAACAGCAGTAAAGTGTTTACCATTTATTTGTTTCTATCTAAATTATTATGATGGTGTTTCCACTCTTTGTCTCATTGGTTTATAGTTCTAATCATGCCTTGTACCTGATTCAACTTAGATAAAGAAATAATAGTAATCCTACATTATAGTACTATTGGAATTAAACTAGTTGATGTTTAGGGAAAATATGGGAAATTGCGTAGCATAGTTCATGTTCGGTGCACAATGGCTACAAGTTCTAATTCTATTTTCTATTGGTAGAGAACTTTTTTTAAAGGGATTAAAAAAAATAAAAACAAAATACAAATGATACAGGATTTCAAAACAAACTGATTGGAAATTAACAATAGTCACTATATTCCATATTGTTATCTTCAAAATAGTTGTTCAGATTACAAGATATGGGCATTCAAAACAGATCAAACAGTATAAGCAATCACAGTTTCTTTCTCTGAACTAATAGGATCAGTAATACAATTATTTTAGATATCTTGTGTGTGTGTGTGTGTGTGTATTTATATTTTCCCTTCCTTCTTTTCTTTCTCTCCATCCCAGTTCTTTCCTTTTGAGCAATTTCATTCCCTTTCACAATATCTATTGTACTTTTTGGATCTTATTTAATCTTTCAGTTTCTTACACGAAGGAGAAAGTAAGATGTTTATATATGTGAGTCTGATTTATCTCACTTATGAGGATGGTCTCAAGTTGCATCTATTTACCTATAAAAGCCTCTAGTTTATCCTTCTTTATAGCTGAGTAGTACTCCATTGTATAAAAGTACATTTTAAACTATTTAATAGGCATTTGGATTGTTTCCAACCCAAATTGTGCTGCTATCAACATAGGTGCGCATATATCTCTGTGGCATGATGTTTTTAATTTTTCTGAAAAATACCCAGAGGGGGGAATAGCTGGGTCAAATGGGACCTCTAATCTTAGTTTTTTGAGAAATCTCCACACTGACTTCCACAGTGGTTGTACCAGTCTACATTCCCACCAACAATGGAGAAGGGGTCCTTTTTCCCTGCAACCTTGCTAGCATTTTTATTGATTGATTTCTTGATGATAGCCATTCTTTCTGGAATGAAGTGAAATCTTAGTGTTGTTTTAATTAGCACTTCTCAAATAACAAATGACAAAAATTTTTTCATATGTTTATCATTTGTATTTCTTCATGATAAAGGACTCTTATGGGGATTAAATGAATTTAGGAAAATTTCCTATAACTATCCTTTTTGAATTCGAATTGATGGCATATAAAACACTGAGAGCATCTTCATTCACATTTCTTAAGCTCAATCAGTTTTTAAAATTTTTAAACAAAATTTAGATTTATAGGTTTAGAATTTATGAATGCATTTAAATTAGGTGGTAAATTGATTAGAAATTAGCCAAAGAGGACCCAAAGGTATAGGTCTGTGTTAGAGCACTTGCCTAGCAAATATGAAGTCCTGTGTTTGACACCTAGAAACCATACACACACACAAAATTGCCACAGTCCATCCATTTTGCAATTTAATTTCATGTGCAATTAAAAATTTTTGAGCACAGAAAAGTTGAAATAACAGTACAGTCAGGTCTCCATGTCCATGTGGCTCATATTTGTACATTGAACCTCAGATGATAGTACTTAAGAAAACTTTGTACTAAACATGTATGGACTGCTGTTATCCCCTAAATAATATGTATAACAACTACTTACACACATTTGCATTGTATTAGGTATTATAAGTAATCTAGTGATGATTTAAAATATAGTTATTGGGATCGAGGATATAGCTCAGTGGCACAAGTACCTACCTGGCAGGTGTGAGGTCATGAGTTCGATCCCCGTTACCAAAAAAAAAAAAAATTAAAATACAATCATGCATTGCTTAACAACAGAGATACATTTACATAAATCTAGATGATCCAGCCTATGACACCATAGGTTATATCATACCACTTATTACTCCTAGGCTATGAACTCATATAGCATATTACTGTCCTGAATATTGTAGGCAGTTATAACACAGTGGTAAATATCAGTGTATCTAAACATACCCAGACAGAAAAGGCACAGTAAAAACAAAGTATAAATGATTTTGAAATGGTATACTTGTGTTGTACACTTACCATGACAGGAATCTATACAATGGGAAGTTTGTTTTGGGTAAGTCAGTGAGTGGTGAGCAAATGTGAAGGCCAGTACATAACTATCTACTGTTACAGACTTTATACATACTGTACACCTAGGCTACAGTATACATAACATAGTATTTTTCTTTCTTTAATAATAAATTGACGTTTATATAGACTTAAATTTTTTCACTTTTTTGTAATAGATTTTGTTTTGTTTTTTGTTTTGGTTGAGATACTTTGCTATATATTACAGGCTGGTCTTACATTCACTATGTAGCCCAGGCCTGCCTAGATTTTGCAGCAATCCTCCTGCCTCAGCCTCCCAAGTCCTGGGGTTACAGATGTATGCCACCACACATGACTATAATAAGAGTTTAAAATACACATGTTGTAGCGTTTTACAAAACATTTTTATACATCCTTATATAAGCATTTACATTTTTTGTTTTTTTACTTTTTAAATGTTTGTGTTAAAAACTAAGATATAGGGACTTCCAGGAGAACATGGTGGATAGATAGCAGCATCTTCACAGGCTTTCTGAGAAACCACACTTAAAATCCAGGAATGGTGCCAGGCAAAAAGTCCTAAACAAGGGGAGATATACTTTGCGGACCCAGGAACGAACTAAAGTAAGAGAAACCAACTGAAAACACAATCCCAGTGATATAACAGGAACAGATAAGGTCTCAGTGCGGAAGCTGGGGCCTGCGCCACTGGAAGCCGTGATTTGAATTTCCTGCAGCCACTGTTGTGTCCCAATCAGCACAGCAAGGAGAGAGGTGTGAAAGCTCTGAGAGTGGGAAGCAGTGAATGGAGTTGAGAGCGGGACTGGCCGGGAGCCATGCATCGACCTATGGTGAGTGAGCGGATCGGGCACCCTTCCATAGAGTAGGAGGCTTCAGCAAAGTACATACTGGGACTGGGCAGACTAGCCGGAACAGGGCGCTGCAGTGACTTCAGTCACATATTCCCCTCTCAAGCAGGATTGGTTGGGAGTACCTGGCTTGGGTGACGCCGCTGACTAAGACCCAGTAAGCTAGCCCAAACCAGGTCCCAGTGCCTGGAGGTGCACCCTAGCAGTGAAGCCTTCAGTAGGTTGACCTGGAGGGCCAGGCCCAGCATAGGCTTCCCAGGTCTGTGTCTCCCTAGTACACTGCACTGGGCAGGAACACCTAGCCGGCGCAATTCAAACAAACTGTAACCGACAAAGAAAGAAACTGGGCCTCCTATATACTCTTGTATGAAAGGAACAAAAAATATGGGAAGATGGAGCAACAAGAAAGGGTCCTCGGCCCCCAATCCTGAGAAACATGCAATATCAGACACGGCACCAATAGACATAAAGCGCTATCTCCAAGCCTCATAGACGAGTTCAGGAATGAAGTTATTAACGACCTGAAGCAAGATATAAGTAGAATAGTTAGAGAAATGCTAAGCACCGCCCAAGAAAAAACAGATGGTGGAATGGAAGAACAGAAAAAAAGGGGAGAATTGTTTGATGGAGAAAACAGAGAATACATGAAGCAAGTTCAAAGAGATTACCAGGAAACTAAAAACTCTATCTAAAACTGGCATAACAGCTTGAAAGAAACTAAGGATAGATTATCTGAACCGGAGGGCATATTTGTAATATGGAAGCATGAAATGAAAAACTTCTTAAAAATAATTAAAAAAACAGCAGCAATGCAAAGGCTAGAAGATGATAAGAGGATCTATAACTTAAGAATTAAGGACATAAAAAAAGTTGGGACACAAACAAATGGACTACAAAAGCTATTCACAGAAATAATCCAAGAGAATTTCCCTAATTTAGTAAATGGTAAAGATACTCAGATGTATGAGGCATATAGGACCCCAGCCACCTACAACCCAAACAGAGCTATACCCAGGCATATAATAATCAAAATTCCTGAACCAATATAAGAACAGAATATTAAAAGCCATCAGAGACAAGAAACATCACTTACAAGGGAACACCCATGAGAATTACAGCAGACTTCTCAGCACAAACCATCAAATCACGAAGAGCATGGGGGGAAATAATTCAAGCTTTGAAAGATAATAACCTCCAGCCAAGATTGGTATATCCTGCACAACTGTCCCTAGAAATTGATGGAAAAACAAGGTGCTTCCAGGATAAAGAGGAACTAGGGGAATTTGCAAACACCAATTCAACTCTACAGAGAATACTACAGGATATTCCTGCAGGCGATGCTGTGTCCCAATCAGCACAGCAAGGGGAGAGGCGCGAAAACTCTTGAGAGTGGGAAGCGGTGAATGGAGTTGAGAGCGGGACTGGCCAGGAGCCCTGTATCAAAAATACCAAGATTCCAGAAATAGTGGCCGAGAGGCCACAATGAATGGAGCAGAAAGCAAAATGAAGAAGACAAACTGACAACAAATGACAGAAAAAGAGCTCAACAGGAATGAGGCAGAGAAGATCAGATGGTAGGAACAGCTATTTTGCAGAAAACAAGACATCATAATAGCTAGTGCTGATTTAGTATCATCTTGTTTTGAAATCCCATCAAACTTATATTCTTCTGCCTCCATCAGTCTTAAAAGGTGTTATTGGATTTTATTATATATGATAATATAAGCAAAAACTTTTATAGACAAGGAGATTATACAGAAACCATTGTTCATTTTCTGTTAATTGATTCTAAATACCCTGTAATAATGTCATTCTCTTGAATGGTTTTATAGTGTCTTGATATGTTTGGTGCTACAGTATACGAAGTTATACTCAAAGATTTCAAGGAAAGAGACACTATGGTAACTATCTTTATGTTGGGATATCTTGTGGTGAAGCACTATTTTGCTTAAATGTTTATGTTTTGACCTGCGCTATTCTTTTGTTATGCCCTCTCTTATCTCAATCTCCCCTTTTTAAAAATTATTTACTTTTTAATTTTTATCTTTTTAATTAAGGGAAAAATAAAAAAATAGCAGGATACATTATAGTAACCAACCTTGATTTCCTATTAACTTGATTTGAAATCCTATATTGCCATCACCATCTTATTTTGACTGATTTTCTCCTATTCTGCTTTGCTTGATAGTACCATGTTTGAAAGCATAGGCAACAACTGTGAAGACAATAAGAATCATTATGACGCCCATTCTGGTTGACTTATTATCTTCTTTTAAAGTCCTGTAATGTCTCCAATGCTTTGGTTTTATTCTTTACTGTTTCATTCAATTTTATTATAACTGGCAATTCTTAAAATAGCAAGAGGCAGTATGGTAACCATTGTTGATCACCTTGTATTTTGCTTTTACACTATCTATTATGTCCATCCTTTTGGTTTGACTGACTCTGTTCTGATATGTCGCATTTGGTTTTACTCTCTTCAAAAAAAGTAATAAGGGGGCCTGGGGATTTAGCTCAGCGGCATAAGTGCCTGCTTTACAAGCAGGCAGTTGTGAGTTCGATCCCCGGTACCGGTAAAAAGGAAAAAGAAAAAAAAAAAAACAAAAAAAAGTAATAAGAACTGTGGGACTAATAAAACCCAAAATGTGTAATTGTCATTGTACAAAAGAAAAGAAAGTGCTCTAAAGGTTATAACTACAAATATGTTTAAGTGTATAAGATAGATAACCATATTCCTGAGTTTTTTTAGGTCATTGAGCAAAACTGTTTGCACTCTCACTGTTTGAAAGTCTACTTTATATGCTTTAATTTTGCAACTTGAACAACTGTTTCTAAGATGAGAATATGTAATCTATTAACTAGTGATTCCTTACTGTTTATTTTTTAAATTTTGTATTACTTATACCCTTTTTCTGTTTTTTTCTTTTTCTCCTTAAATTAAAAAAAAACTAAGATATAAGCATACACCTTAATCTAGGCTTACATAGGGTAAGGATCATCAGTAGTTTTGTCTTCTACCTCCACATTTTGTCCTATTGGATCAGGGTAATAACATGCATGGAGCTGTCACCTATGATAACCATGCTTTCTGGAATGCTTCAGGAAGGACCTGCCTCTCTTTTATAGTTAACTGTTTTTTAAAATTCTCTTCTGGGGTTAAACCCAGACCCTTGCTTGTGCTAGGCAAACACTACCTAGCCCTTTTATTTTTTTCAGATGGGGTCTGGCTAAATTCCCCAGGCTGGCCTGAAATTTGCAATTCCCCAATTTTGACTTCCCAAGTAGCCAAGATTGCAGTAATGTATTCCTGGTTTAAACTTTTTTTTAAGTAGAAGGAACATACTTTAATGATTAAAGCTGAGTATGGTGGAATACACCTGTAATCACAGCATTCTGGGAGCACAAGGAAAGAGAGCCACAAGTTTGAGCCCAGCCTCGACAAGTTAGTGACTTCGTGAGACCTTGGTTCAAAGTAAAAAATTAGAAAAGGGCTGAGGCTGTATCTCTATGTGAAAACCCTGGTCTCAATCCACAGTACTGCCAAATAAATAATTTTAAAATGATTAAAATTAGTATAGCCAAGCATGGTGGCATGTGCATGTAATCTTAGCTTTTTAGGAGCCTAGGCAGGGGGATGGCAAGTTTGAGACTAACCTGGGTACTTTGTGAGATCCTCCCCCTGATAAAAAATTAAGTAGGCTGTGGATGTACCTCAGTGATAGTATGCCACTCTTTTCAATCCCCAATATCAGCAAAAAATAATCATCTTTACTAATATAGCCAATAAAGTTTTGTTACGGATTTATTACACATTAATAGCGCACATCAAAAAATTCAGCAAATTGTGGTGGTGCATGTCTATAATCCCAATTCTCTGGGAGGCTGGGGCAGAGTCATAAGTTTGAGCTGGGGCTGTAGCTCAGTGTGAAGGCACTGGGTTTACTCCTCAGTACCAAAAAGAAATCCTTAAAGTCTACATATTAAAATATTCATATTGGCTACTGTTGTAGAGGTGTGTTACGGACAATTTTTTTTTTGTTTTCTACTTTTACATTTTCATAATAATTTTTGAGGAAATTACCAAGGAGTAACTATTGCACATTGCTTCCTTTTTCCTTCTCCTGTAAAACCTAAAATTTTTATGTGTTGTCCTGGTATCTTTGAGTGTCCCTCCAGGGTGCTAAGTACCTAAGCATAACTTCCCTCCTATCATCTGACAAGCCTCCATCCAGTAAGAAGCACTTTCAACCAGTTAGTTTCCCTTGTCCTACTTGGTCTTAACCTAATAGGGATCCCTTCTGTCAGACTGTGGAACCAGTGAAGCAAGATATTTGCATTGTCACATGGGAACCAAGGGATACCTCATCCTCTTTGCTATTTGAGAGTCTGAACCTCACAGCCCTGCTGATTTACTGTACTTCCAAGTGGAACCATTCTGGGGCATGTGGTGACCTTCACCCTTTGGGATGTGAGTATATGTGATTAATATTTTTTTGAAACAGGGTCTTGTTATGTAATTTAGGCCAGTATTGAACTCACTGTATAGCCCGAGCTACCCTCAAACTCAGCCTTTTCAGAGCTGGGGTTACAGGTGTGTGCCACAATGCCTGGCATATATGATTAAGTATTATCAGTCTCATCTCTCCTATATATATGTATCAGATGGTTAAATACTTGTAGAATCTTAAAGCAAGACACTTCTATCACCAACAGGGTAGAAAGGAGATGACAAAAATACTTCTACTTTTTTTCCCCCCTTGGATAGAACCCAGGGCTTTCTCATGAAGCTACATCTCCATTCTTCCATTTTTAAAAAAAATTCTGAGGGTTGCTGGGGATTTAGTTCAGTGGCATAAGTGCCTGCCTGACAAGTGAGAGGTCGTGAGTTCAATCCTTGTTACTACTACTAGTAATAAAACATACAAACATGAAAACTGATGTCTGTGCAGTAATATGAATTAAAGCATTGCTTTTTGGAAAATAAATTCCTTAATGCAGAGTAGAAGAAGACATGTTTCTTAAGTTAGGGTGCATCCATGCCTTAGCCTTTTGTAGTTTTGAAAATGATACTTATGTACTGATTTGGAACCATCTTTGTATGGAGAAAATCACATAGTTATATGCATATAACATAGGTATTTGAAATTATTTGCAAATATGCATATTCCATCTGGATTGGCACAAAGGCTATTATTTTTCCGGTTTAGATTTGAAAGCTTTCGAGGCAGACGATTTTATGTAACATACACTGTTAGTGGAAAAACCGTATTTTCAGTTGAGAAAAAGTGGTTAAAGTAAGACATAATTATCATTGTAAAAAGGGGAGAGTCAATGTAGTCCCTCTCTCCTTGCTAGGGATTGAACCATGGTAGCATGCGTGACAGGCAAGCACTCTAATCTGAGGTACATCCGCAACTCTTTAAATTTTATTTTGAGACATGGTCTGAATTGGTCAGGCGGGGTTTAAGCTTGTGATTCTCCTGTTTCATCCTCCCGAGTAGCTGGTATTACAAGCATGTGTCACCATGCCCACCATAAGCTTCTTCCTAAAATCGATCATTATGTGTTTTTTGAAAATTAGGAAAAAATTTTTCACAATGTTATGCTATATGCACATGAGTATATGTACGTGTATATGGACACATACACGCGTAAGAATACACATGTCAGAATGGAAAATTCTGTCCAACTTCTAATTACTCAAGCGTGCTATCCTCCTTAACAGTCAAAGCACTGATTTTTTTTCAGGGAAGATCCTCACAGGCCTGAGTCATAGAAAAAGACTAGCTCCAAAGTTTTGTTCTTTTAAATAACTGGGTCTACATCAAGGAGATCTGCCTTTAATCTCATTCCTGAAGAATCCTTTCTTCATCCGGCATCTGCGCATGCGTGCGCTCGCACTCCAGGCACAGTCTGCCCCGCCCAGAAGGCTGAGACCCTGGCTTTCGGGGCTGTGGTCCAGCTCAATCCCAGCGCCTTTCACGTTTAGCGACTGTGGACTTTGTTTCCACAGCAGACTGCGGGCCTGGACGGTCTGGGGCGGACTACATTTCCCACAAGCTACCGAGGTGACGTCCACGTCAGGCTCCTGAGGGAGAAGTGGCCGTAGGTCGCTGTGAAGGGGACTCCCTGGGCCCAGCGTGGCGGTGAGAGCGGGTGGGAGAAGGGGAGGGGCGCGCTGCGGCGGGAGCTGGGGGAGGGTGGTGGCTTCTGTGAGGGACAGCGGGGTGGCGCGGCTGCGCTTCTCTCATTGGATGCGCTGTGAGAACGAGCGATGCCTAGGTGTCTCTGTGTGACTGGGACACAGGGTGTGTGTGCTTCAGTGTGTGAGCTTTGGTGCGGCGGTATGGTGAGCGTCTCAGTAACCTGCGTCTCCAGGTTCCCGGCTGCTTCCTGTGTCCTCCTGTCAGCCACTGTGACTGACTATTACAGATAAGTGGCCCTGGATAGGGAGTCCGATACTGAGTTCTGAATAACAGTTTTCATCCGAAAAATATAGACGTGCTGTTAAGGTGGGAACTACAGAGGAGGAATTGGCCCTGAGACAGTAACCTAAAAGACTTAAAGTTAGGGACAGGATTTCTATCTGGTAGTTCTCTGGGCTTCATATATGTGTTTGTGAACTGTACCATTCCTCGGCTCTTACCCCAGGAACTGCTGTGAATGCTGCTACGGATTCCCATCCCTTCCATCCGCCCCACCTCTTTACATCCCATTTCCTGCGCTGAGGATTGAACCCAGGGCCTTCACACTCAGCTACGTCCCCAGCTCTTTTCATAATTTTGAAATATGGTCTAGTTAAATTGCCCAGTTGGGTTCAAACTTTATTCCTCCTGCCTCAGCCTCCTAGAGTGCTGGGATTACAGTTGCGTTGCAGTCAGTATTGGCTTCACCGGGCTGTAGGTACAAGGAGTGCATCTGTGAAAGATAGTAAATGCTCAGCATTATAGTTACTTGGATCATTCCCCTTTAGATTTCTGTAGATTAGAAGCAAAGAAAATATGAAGTTAATTATATCATGCTCTTGCCTCAGTTTCCTGAGTATCTGAGTACAGGTGTGTGCCATCATATCCACTCTGAATTTTCTTGAAGTCTCCTTTTTGGAGAATACCTTCATGTTAACAAAATTTTAAAGATACACATATATTTCAAGTTATTACAACAGTAATTGTGGAAGAAGCTTTAAAAACAATATCAAAACAAAACCACTTAATAGATAACCATATAATCTTCCAAACTTTTCTGTTTATTGATTTCAGTTGCCTGTTCGCCTCTTTCTCACTCGTTGAGATATTTCACTAAATAATTATATTGGTCAACCTGGGTTTTTTAAAACTGACTATCTAGAATATTTTCCATATTTTTAAGCCTCACATTTTACATCTACTTTGTATTGTACAATGATAGTATGTCATATATTTAAGTACTAATCTTTGCTAGATTCATAATACAAAACACTGTCTGTCTCTTAATCAACTTCACCCAATTCCAAAGTGGTTCTAATTTGGATGACGAATGCTCTTTTCAGTCCTAGAAGGTAAGAACTAAAGGAAGAGGATCTGCTCAGAGCAGAACGCTGGTGCCTAATATCAGGTCTATTCATTTGACTTACCAAAATCACACAGTGGCCAGAAAACTTGATAACATGGGTCAGGTAACGTTCTGTCTTCAATGCAAAAATGCCTGTCTTCTGTGACTTTTAAGTGGAGACCTTTGTGATTTGGATTTACCTAGAACTCTAATTGGCCCAAATCATATGTGATGTGAAATGGTCTGGAACTTGGAATGGAAGACCATAACAGCAATATTAAATAAGTTAAGTTCTGTAAACAACACTAAAGCAAAAATGGTCTTAAGGTGTTTTTCTTTTCTCAGCTCCAACTTTCCAGATCTGTGTTTTTGCTAAAGGAACCCTGAAAACTGGTCCACTCTTGCAGGTTTAAACCATGGACTATGTAAGTTAATATTTCTCTCCTTGTTGAAATTTTTATGTGTTTATGCAAATATTTTCATTAATTTTCCTGAAGTTTCCCAGTAGGAGAAATTTCCTATCAAATAACCAGCAAAGTCATCTAGAAACATCTAGGTTTTATTCATCCACTGAAGTGTGATTTCAGGTCACCCAGCCTCCTCTTTGTGTAATCCACTCTAAATTTACTAGTTGGTGTAGGGAAGTAGAGTGCTTGCCTAGTATGCGGAAGGCCTTAAGTTCCATTCCCAGCACTAACAACAAATAGAACTTACTAGTTTTTATGTAATTAGTGAGGAAATTATCAGCATGTCTTAAGTGCCTATTCATTTATCAGTGGCAATAATGGATTTAAGTTCCTTGAGGAAAGATTTATACCTTTTGGGTCAAGTCCAGTGGGGGAGTTAGAGACAGTTGTTGTATTTGACTGTCCATAACAAAACGTAAAGTGTCTCAGACATGAAACTGCCAGATAATGAAGATGGAAGTTTGCTACTACACGACCAAATGTGTAGATAAGAGCCTGTATTTTGCGTGGATTAGTAGATAACTAGGACCTGCAAATTTGGAGGTCATGGATCTTGGCAGGAAATCTCTGAGATAAGTATCAAGACTGATAGTATTCAGTTTTTAAGTGAGACATACTGAACTTGGGTGAAATGTATTCATCATCCTTCCTCAGTATTCTTGAAATGTATTTTTATCTATAATTATAAAGAAAATTAATGACCTTTTTAAAAATAATGGAATCCGCTGTGTTGCCTAGAGTTGTCTCAGACTTAACTGGGACTATAGACATGCATTACCAAAGACATTGGACTTCACCTGAAACTTGTGGCTTAAGATAGTCAACATTTCATAGTTTTTGCTGGTCAGATATCTAGACTGGCTTACTTTGCCTCCTGATTCTGAGTCTCTTATGAGCTTATTAAAGTATTAGTCAGGATTGAAGGCATCCTTGTGCTCAATGTAGGGGGATATGTTGCCAAGCTCATTTAAGTGCTTGTTAACAGTTCCTCATGGGTTGTTGGTATGAGGATCTCAGGTATTCATTGGCTATTGACTGAGGCCATCCTTGGTTTACTGTCATGAGGTTCTGTCAGTAGAACTTAAAACCTGGTAACTGCTGACTTTGCTAGTGAGCAAATGAGATGCCAAGAGAAGGAAGGCAATACGGAATTTATAGAACTTTGTAGCCTTTATCAAATATAACAACTTAGCAATTTAGCTGTTTATTAAAAGCAAATTACTTGGTTTAGCCTAGGTACAAAGGAACAAGATTTCAAAAAAACACAGTCCTGAGACATGGAGTAATTAGTAACCTACATAAAAGCTGTCTGCCACACTAAGCTTTTATTTGTTCAATAAAAAATAGTAGATGGGCACAAAAATGGTGATTATATACAGTATATGAAACACAGAATCTTAAAATTGAGACAAACCTCACAAATACTATACCTCTTAATTTATTAAATGACTAAATCTAATATATACATACAATACAATCTCATGTAGTAAAAAGACAAAAAAAAGGGCTAGGGATATAGCTCAGTGGCACAGCACCCACCTGACATGCTCAAGGTCCTGAGTTCGATTTCTAGTACCAAAAAGAGAGAGACAGAACAAAACAAGAAAAATGCATATGCTAATATCTGATGTAATGAAGTATGTATGTATGTATGTATTTATTTTGGTACTGGGGATTGAACTCATGGCTATGCACTTGCAAGGCAGGTGCTTATGCCACTGAGCTAAATTCCCAGCCCTGTAATGAAATATTTAAAGTCATGAGAATTCTGAACTTTATGTAGTCCTTATTTTCTAAAATTGATAATTTACATTCTGAAAAAATACTCAATTACATTTTTATCTTCTCTTGAAAGCAAAAAATTTCACCAGAAACTCATATTTATTTAAAAATATGTGGGTGTCTTGGTTACTTTTCTCTCAGTGCTGGGACAAATA